AAGAAATAAAAAGTTAAGGTACAGGAAAAAAAAAAGAATTCTGGGAGCACTGTCCTAAAGAAACTTAAACTACAAATAATTATGTTCCCATTAGACGCGGCGCATCTGTTACAGCACTAATACCTTAATTATTAATACATGTTTACCTCCTAATTAGATAGTGAGCTCCTCAAGGGTTAAGAACTGTAATTTATTCATCTCTGTGTCCCAAGTGCACAGCATAGTGCCAGACATACAGTGAATGCTTGGCAAATGTTTGCTGAATTACTAGAGCTCTATTGTTTTGAGTTTGACCTCAGGAAAATATTTCATTAAGTTTTTTGGTAAAATAAAATGACTATGATAGGATAAATAATTATCCAGTGACTAAACATACTCCTGCTTGCTTTGCAGGATACCACCTCCCTGGGAACAAGCAAATTAAGAGCAAGATGATTGCAAGGAATCATGACTAGAGGGAGATTTCATCAAGGCCATGATGACCTATCCCTGGTTGATCTCAGAGCAAACTGCTATAACCTAGAACATGTGAGATACCCAAGAAATTGAAGTACTAGTTTGAAATGATTCTATATTTCTAGCCCCAGTAATCAATAAAATGTTTCCTGTTGATAATGACATCCACACCTAAGTGAACACAAAATTAAATGACTCATGAGAAACAATGTAACTTCAGGTAGTGTGGGTGGGATTCTTAATTATTATACTAATTGTATATTACATATTATATTAATTTTGTTATATTATTGCCTAAATAATGGTAAAAAATTAATCTACAAGAGTCCAAGAACTTTTTCCTCATTATCAATAGGAAGCCAGATTTTCTAGTTTTTTTTAAAAATAGTGTGGAAATCACAAGTGTTAACAAACTTCTGCTGAACTTATCCTGGTCACTACTGAGTGATAAAATCATTTATCCAGCATTCTTAACCATGTCTGTCTGAGTTGTTTAAGATAAGCTTTACAATTGAGACATGTTACTTATGAAATAAAGCCAATTTTTGTTACTGACCTTCCCAAATTTGTGTTTGAGTGGAAGTCCTGCATCCTGAAATGCTAAAATAATATCAGATTTGTAATCTTGTATAAAAATTCCTAGATCGACATCTCTGCTATAAGGAATAATGTTGCACTGCCGATACCATCCTTAAATAAAAAAAAAAAAAAAAGGAATACTTAGGGTGCTTTGTTATTGTTTAAAAAAATTAAATTCCAAACTAAAAGACTTGGTTATAGGAGTCAACTGTTGAAGAACCTTCCATTTATCTGCCTACCTCATCTATCTTTATTTTTATTGGCCTGAGCACTCAGCTTCCCCAAAATCTTTCATTCTAATATCTGAGTAAACCATTAGCATTAATAATGTTAACTGGGCCATCCATTTTAAAAAGTTAAGTTGCTGTTGAGAATGTTTAATCATTAACCTCTAGTGATAGATGTTGACTTTAAGGTATGATATTAAAAATTCTTAATTCTTTTGCTTAATCGATATACCTTTCCTGAGCAATAATTCATAGAATTTAACAGCTCTGAACAGCTCATATCTGATGGGTCATATAAAAAAGAAACACAGTATCAGCTTCAATTTTCAACATACTGACAAAAGATAATTCTAAGTGTTTACTCGATTAGGTGCTATTGTGTTGATATAAAAAAAATAAAATTTATACCTTAATATTACTAAGGACTCCTGGGTCTCCCCTATTATCCTTCTAATCCTTCCATCCAAATTATCTTAAAAGTAAGTAAATTGTCTACAATTATCCTTATAGGCATTGTTATCAGGCAATATTACTTAGAATTCTAAAAGAATTCTATCAAAGAATTAAAAACTATTAAAAATGAAAGGTTCCTTAAATATCATCCAGTACAACTCCCTCATTTCATAAATGCCCTTAAATCAAGAAAACCATGGGCTTAAAACTCAAATAATGACAAATGATTAAAAAGTATTTTGGATGACAGTCTATAAAAATAGCCTTGCTTCTAAAAAGTTAAACCTTAAAGCAAATACCACATAAATGTGTGAGATGTGC